CCCACATATACAAGAAAGCAATTGCCCTAAAGTTTCTTCCCGTGAGACTAAGTTTCCATTGAAGCTAAAGCTTGCACAGTAAGGCTAAGGCGGTATTTTCAGAGAGTGCAGGAAAGCAGCCAGGAAGAAGACTTTAACTTTAGTCTCAGCTCTGTAGTAACCAGAGGCCCTGGATAAGTTAACGGAGATCCTTCGTTTTCCCAAATGTAAAAATAATGTTATTTCATGACCTTTGACAGATCTGTCAGCATCACAGGAATGTGATGCAAAACTGAAAGGTGGGAGATGTTGCAGTTCTTGTCACTCAAAACCCAAAGATGAAATTAAAATTCTGCAGACCCTGGTGCTTTGCGGCAGGTATTCGGAATAATTTTTCCACAGTTGAACCATATCTCTAAATTCATCAGGAACCTAGAGCAGTGGTTCTCAAACTTTGGCGTGCATGGGAATAATCTGAAGAGTTTGTAAAAATACAGATATCTGGAGTTTCTGATTCAGAGCTTCTGCCTGGGGACCCCAGAATTTGCATTTCTAACAAGTTCCTGGTGATGTTGATATGGTTGGTCCAGGGACCACACTTTGCAAACCCCTGGTTCAGAGTTTTCCCAAGAGCCCGCATACGAGGCGAGATTCGATCCAGCACATACAAGTTTCGTTGTCAATTTCCCCCTTCCAGGGACCCTTGTCAATATCCAACCCCGGGGCGCGTTATCAAGCTGCTGACAGTGGGGCCTCCAGCTTGCCATTCCAGATGGTCTCTCCCTCCGGCAGAGGCTGGCAGAATCCGGATAACACTATCCTGGAGTCACGCGGCCGCGCGTGGCCCCACACGCCCCGCCCAGCCGCCGCGGGGCGGAGAGCCGGGCGGAGCAGGCGCCGAGGCTGGCTGCCGGGCCGGCGAGGGGCGGCGCCAGGCGGCGGGTCCTTAGTCGAGTGACGCGCAGCGGCTGTCCTAGGCGCAGACTGCGGGGCCGCGGGGCTGGAGGGTGGCCATGCCGGGGGCTCTGGTCCGCACCTTCTCTCTGCTGCTGGCGCCGCTGTTTCTGTGCTGTGCGAGCGGCTTGCGCGTAAGTCTGTGGGACCCCGGCGCGGAGACGCACTGCTAGGGGACAGGGTGGCGGGGAACCGGGCTGCGGCCACGGCCGCTTGGGGTCCTGCAGGGCGGGGAGCCTGAGACCCTGGGTGCCCGGCAGGCGGGCAGCGGCGGGGCGCAGGCAGTGGGTCGGCCCTCCCGTCGGGGGCGTGCCGGGCGGGGCGCGCGTCCGTCCCGGCGGCTGGGGCGTCAGTGTGTTCCGCTCCGGTCGCCCTTATCGCTTGGACCCACTTCCCTATCTGTGTAACGAGGGGTTGAGGTGAGGTGCGCCTAACCCTTTGCAACTTCGGCTTTCCGGGAGGGGGGTTCTAAGTTGCTCGGGTTATTAGAGGGCGCCTCGGCTCGGGGCGCCCTCCCTTGCCTATCCGTGCTCTGCGGAGCGCTCCGGAAGGAGAAAAATGGGGTCAGGAGAGGCCCCTGCAATGGGAACATTGGGTTGTTTTTCTTCGGGGTGATCCCCCTTTTCAAACCTCTCGTTCCCTTGTCCCCACTCCTCGCCGCCTGCTTTTTGGCTTGGGGGTTTTCATCGCATTCATGGGACCGTTCTTTCAGGGTTTGACAGCCCAGGTTGAGGGTGGGAAGGGGCAGGCCGCAGGGGGCGGCAGCATTGATGGAGGGAAGTTTGGCGAGGCGAGTGGGTGAGGTGCGGGGGCGTGCACGTCTGGTGGGAGAGGAAGGACAGCCTCACTCCCCCTGTCCGAGCTGAGGCGGCGGCCTGCGGGTTGCGAAGCGCCGCCTGGGGAGGTTGGCATCACATCTGCGGAAAGGAGAGGGGGTCATCGAAACGGGCAGCTTCTCCTCTGCAGGTTCAGCGAACCAAATTGTGGTTCCTCCAGAGTTTAGGTTGCCTGAGTTGGGGCATGTTTTAAGTACCAGATGGCGGAATTTGAGCTTGTAGACTTGTAAGTTACATTCTTTGACAAAAGGTTTACCTAGGGCAAAGAAAAGTCGTATGTTTATCTAAAACAAAGGTTGAAAATTTTAAGTATTTGGGAAACAGCTGCTGAAAGCGTTTTCATTTTGGGAAAAGGTCACCTCAAATTGAGTACCTGCTACTCCCTCTCCACTCCATCTATGGTTCCCCTGCCCCAATTTTTTTTTCTTTCTTTTTTTTTTTTTTGGTAGGCAGAGTTCTCTTGTCAGGGTGGCCTGGAGGAGTCTTGGGTGTCAGAGCTAGCCAGTTGTGAGAACTACTGGTAAAGGTGGAATTGGGGAATAGTTCAGAACAGTGGCTGGGTAAGGGGTGGGGAAAAGGCAGATCTTAACCATTATCTGGGGGTGGTTGGGGAGAGATTAAAGATTTATGGATGAGGAGCAGGTGGACAGGACAGCCTTCAGTGTGATATCAGCTCATCATTCTTGTGCAGTGTCTTTGGGTGGATGCCCTGTGGCTGCCATACCTGTGGCCCACACGTAAAGGCTGGCATCACCCCAGGAATTCTCATGTCAGGTATGCCTCCTAGGCTGCTGTGCCTAGAGATGAAGAAAGATACCAGCAGCCTAGCTTTCTGTTATTTCTTTGTTTACATTTCTTTAGAACAGCAGTTCTCAAACTTTAACTGTCCTAGAAATTAAGAGAAATTTTAAAAATATTTACTAATTTATTTAAGAAATTATAAATCTATTACATGCTAATAAACTATATTTTTATGAAAAATAACAATTTCTTCCAAAATTTTAGGGTGAAGAGTTGTATTGTTTTACATTTCTACAAATCTCTTTCTTGTCTGTCTTAATAGAAGACAGATTTTGATGTCTACTTCTGCATTCAGTCTGTTGTCATATCACATGTCACACGGTCTCTGGAAAACTCCACTGCACACTCATGAGAGAGAGAATGGAAAAGGCAACAATGGCCTAGTATTATTAGGAAAATAATTTTGACTAAGTGGACCCCCCAAAAGGCCTCCCCAGACCAGACTTTGAGAACCGCAGATTTAGAATAATGTTTTTTTATAAAGAAGGGCATGCTCTTTGTGGAGAAACTTTAAACATATAAAAAACATAGTAAAAAAAAACCCTGAAAACTGCTCATCACATCACATCCCTGTGTGTTTGTGTTTGAATAATAAACTTTAGTTAGCAAGTGACTGGTATTTGAGTGGCTTGGATTCAAGATGGGTTGGGCAGATGTAAATGGCCTTCAGGTTTTGAATGGGGATAAGAACCCTCTAATATCCCACAAAGCTGATGCCGGTTCCTGGTTGCAGGCGGAGTTGACCTGGAAACCTCTCCTTGGCCACTGTCCTTTCTAAGGAATTCATTTCCAGAGCCCGCCTGCACAGAACTGGTGGGGGACCCTTCTAGAAGCAGAGAAAATGGCCGTCTTCAGGCAGCTGTCCCTAGGCTCGAAGGCTGCCCTGGCTGCTGTCACTGTCTTCGTGTCCATGATCGTCTCCCGCTCCTTTCTAGCAGAGAGCCTTGAGCTCAGGGCCTGGCGTTGGCTGTTTCGCCTGCAGCTCGCCCTGTTTGTCAATTCGCTCATGCTCATTGGCTCTGTCTACATCTGGCGTAGCACAGTGAGCAACCTCTGCCACTCCCCAGCCGCGGAGTCAACCTGTTTTCAGCTCTGGAAGGTGGCTGTTCTGGCATTTCTGGCCCTGGCCCATTCCAGTTTCTTCACCATGCTCTTTTTAGTGGCCGAGGAGCCCTATCTCTTTTCCTTGGCAGCCTACTCCTGCCTGGGTGCTTACATCATCATGGTCTTCTTCCTCTGCATCCTCAGCGGCATGGAGCAAGCCTATCAGCTCTTGGCCTGGCGCAGTGGTAGAGTCGTGGGCAGTCTTGACAAGACAAGGAAGCTGGCGCTCAGGCCCGCCCTGGCAGTAGCAGTGACCACTGTGCTCAGCGTGGCAGGGCTTCTGAATGCTGCCCAGCCTCCAGCTGTGAAAACTGTGGAGGTGCCCATCAATCAGCTGCCCCCCTCTATGAACAACCTCAAGATCGTGCTCCTCTCAGACATCCACTTGGGCCCCACAGTGGGCAGGACAAAGATGGAGATGTTTGTGAAGATGGTGAATGTACTAGAACCAGACATCACAGTGATCGTGGGTGACCTCTCTGATTCGGAAGCCTCGGTCCTGCGGACAGCTGTTGCTCCTTTGGGCCAGCTTCATTCACGCCTAGGCACCTACTTCGTCACAGGCAATCACGAGTACTACACGTCAGATGTCAGCAACTGGTTTGTGCTGCTGGAATCCCTGCACGTCCGGCCTCTTCACAATGAGAACGTGAAGATTTCTGCCACAGGGACCCAACATGATGGTGGTGAAGATGATGGCTGGATCTGCTTGGCCGGGGTGGATGATATTGAAGCAGACAGCCTGCACTACTCTGGCCATGGCATGGATCTTGTCAAGGCCCTGAAGGGCTGCAACCCAGACCACACCATCATCTTGCTAGCTCACCAGCCCCTGGCTGCCAAGAGAGCCCTCCAGGCTCGGCCAGACATTAACCTGATCCTGTCTGGGCACACGCATGCTGGGCAAATCTTCCCCTTGAACGTGGCAGCCTATCTCCTGAACCCCTTCTTTGCTGGTCTCTATCAAGTGGCCCAGGCTACATTTGTATACGTCAGCCCAGGCACAGCCTACTACGGCATACCCATGAGGTTGGGTAGCCGGGCGGAGATTACGGAGCTCATCCTGCAGCGGGCTCCCTGAACCAGTCCTGCCCTGTGCGCCTCTGCCCTGCTCACCTCCGTCCTGCCCTTGCACTCCACCTTGTCCTGCTTCAGAATCACTTGCCTGCTTTATCCCTCTGGCCTCTCTTGCCCAGCCCTGCCAGTGTACCCTTGGACACAAGCCTGACTCTCACAGTGATTTGTGGTGGGGCTGCCTGGCAAGTTCAGGCTACTTCAACTGTTTAAATGGCCAATCTCTTTTTTATGTGCACTTGTGAGGTCAGTAAGATCACATATATGAGAACTCACTTCTGTTTTCCAGGTGGTACGGAGTGGGGCCCTCCTGCAGAGCTTACAGGGATGAACTGCAACAGGGGGTTGCTGGAAAGGGACACCTCTAGAAAGCAGAGCCAGGAAGGAGCAGGAGCATTTTCCTCTTGTGTTTTTAAACCCTCTTTAGGACTTAGGTGGTCCAGAATCATTGATCCAGATCCTTTCTGGGGAAGGACAGTGTTGCCAGGTAATTTGGGAGAACAGGTAAGAGAGAAGGCCCCTCTGGATGCTAGAGAAGAATATTTTCTTTTACTCTTTGATTCTATTGAGTCACCTTTAGTGGAGCATCAGCAAAAGCCACTAATACAAGGCTCCTCCTGTTCCAGGCCCTGAGGGATGCTGTTTAACTATCTGCACTCCTGGGCCTTTGGGGGTTGGCTGGACGGAGAAGAATGCGCCCCATGGTCGGTGATGGTGATGCTGCTGCTGCTTAGGAATGTGGAGGGGTTTGCCTCCCTGGTCTCATCTTATACAACCCTTGGGTGAAGTGATTAGGTTCAGGCTGCTTTTCCCTATTCAGAGATGAGGAAACCAAGGCAAAGAGGCAATACGACTGGGTATGTAGGAGATGTGGGGTTAGAGGCCAGGGTCTTCCACTTCCCAATAAAAATGTTCTTTCCACTGATGATTAAATAGCTGTATCTGTTACAGTTGAGTGCAGGATTCAAACGCAGTTAACCACACAAAGAACGAACAAGGGCCTAGGACCTGATGTTCTTTCAAAGTAATTCGCTCAAGGCTGATTTCAGTTTAATCCATAACTGCATGGACCGGGGCCTGGGAGTTAGCTAGTTTCAGCATAGGATGTCTGTTGCATTTGAAGAAGAGGCAGGAAACTGGAGCCCCCTCCCCTCACCCCAGGTTTGTGTTTGATTGTTTTGTGAGAAGTTAGATCCACTGTCTACCAGTGGGGGAGTTGAAGCTTGCGTGGGGAGTAGTAGGGCTCTGTGCCCCTGGAAGGGCCTCACGGGCTCCCCTCCCTGGGCCCTGCCTGTGGAACTGGAGACTCCTTCCTGCTGGCCGGCTTCCAACCCACCTGCCTAACCCTGTAAGAGCTGCCCTTGGGCTCTTGCCAGGGAATGATAGTGCCATCTCCATTGGCCTCTAGACCCATAGAAAAACTGGCAGGAGTTACCATGTCTGGAGTGACTCCAACTCTGTTGGCCCAATCCTTGTGTGAGTAGCAAGAGACCCTTTGACCCTGGGATGGCAATAAGCACTCCTGCCAGAAAAGGCATCACTGAGAAGATAGAGGGCCTGGGCTCAGTATTGCTTTCTTTTTCTTTTTTTTTTTTGAGACCAGAGCCTTGCTCTATCCCCCGGGCTAGAGTGCTGTGGCATCAGCCTAGCTCACAGCAACCTCAAACTCCTGGGCTCAAGCGATCCTCCTGCCTCAGCCTCCCGAGTATACTGCTGGGACTACACTACAGGCAGGCACCACCATGCCCAGCTAATTTTTTCTATATATTTTTAGTTGTCCAGCTAATTTCTTTCTGTTTTTAGTAGAGATGGGGTCTCACTCTTGCTCAGGCTGGTCTTGAACTCCTGACCTTGAGCGATCCACCTGCCTCGGCCTCCCAGAGTGCTAGGATGACAGTAGCATTGCTTTCTTGCTAGATGATTTAGACTCATGATGGGGATGGAATGAAGACACTTGCTCTGACTGGAGAGGCTCACCTGCTGCTCACTAGTTGGGCAGCACTGGGCAAGTGACTTGCTCTCACTGACCCTTGATTTCCATCAACCCTAAAATGGGGATAATTATCGTATCTATCTCAAGATTGTTTTGTTGGGTCGGTATTAAGCCTTGGTGCATGAGTTCCATGTGGCACAATGCACACCGTAAATGCTCAATGTTTTGTTAATTTTTCAACATCACATTGGGGCTTGCTTAAAGAACTATGTTGGATGCAGGTTCCCAGAGAATTCATGGAGCAGCCAATCCTGGGGAGTGTGGGTGGGCACCGTGCCACCTGCTGCAGGAGCTGGAGACTTGTCACAGCAGCAACTGCTGGGGCTTTGCTTTCCTCTGCCTGTGTTGATGTCTCCTTGTGCATGTTCTACCTGGCAGAGTTGACTCATTTTCTCCTTGTCTTCCTGATATATAGCAGGGTTCTGGGGGATCCTGGAGACCCCTCTTCTTGTTCCCAGGCAGCCAAGATATTGATGGCAGGCCATCTAGTCAAGTTAAAAAAGTATCTTTGAGTTGAGATTTTGGTGATTTCCTTATTTTTTTTACCCCATTGTATTCAGTCATCCTTACAGCCTGGAGCAAGTTTGGAAAGGAACAGATTTTCAGACTGGAGGAAGGGACCATGGAGAGCCCTTCTTTTAATACATTTTGCAGATGGTGGGATTCCAGGAGAGGAGAAGCACCCCGCCCAGGCCGGCAGCCCAGCACCCAGATCCCTGACTCCGTTCTCTGCGGCCCTCTCCAGGCTCACAGCCCTCCTGGCCCCAGAAAGGCCACTCTCCCAAACTCTCTTGCTTTCTTGTGCCCTGACCCCATTTTTTGGATCACTCCTACTGCCTTTCACTTGTCTTTTGTTTTGAATTTCACCAGACTAGGCTAGATGGTGCCATTTCACTTCTACTCTTGGGTGCCACTAGTAGCTTTTAACTCACCTGTTATATGTTATTTCATTGGTTTCTTGGTTGTAGATCTTTCTTATCAGTGCCCTGGGCTTGATGAAATTAGCTTTGATCAAGTCCTATTTTTTTTATCTTGCATCTTTGTCTCTTTTGAATACCATCATTTTGTAGTCTTATGTACCCTTCATCCACTCAGAAGTCCTTGCTTGACTGGTTGCCTTCTGTTAGCATAAAGGAAGCAGGTCCATCCTATGTATCCAAGAAACGGCATCCACACCCTCTCATACCTGGTTTGTGTTCTCTGACTTGGCAGATGTTTTCGCAACAGAAATTTCTCTGTTACTGTCAAGATATGTCTGCTCTCTGTGGCACTCTTGAGATCCTCTGTTCAATGTCCTTAATCCATTTACCTTCTTTGTTTCGTGAGAAACATTTACTTGAAGCTTGATCATTCTTTCAATGTCATTTCAGTTTCTTTTTAAAAAAGAAGGCAAATTAAAATGCAGTGCTCTTCAGAGATTAGCAATAGCATGTGTAGTGTGATGCTCTTGTTACAAAATCTCAATAAATTAACCCTGCTGCCATTCATTGCAAACAACAATCCATCCCTTTTTTCTCCCCTTATTTTGTTTGGTTTGTTTTAAACTTTTTGTACTGACATGTACTCATCACTCAGCTTCAATAGTTGTGACCATTCTGCCATCCTTTCTTAGCTATCCTGCCCCACACTCTTTCTTTTTTCTTTTTTGGCTGGAGTATATTAAGGCAAATCTTAGAAAACATAATTTGACCCCAACATTACTTTGTATGAATCCTTTTTTTAAAGAACATAACCATAACATCATTATCATATCCCATGAAATTAACAATGATTCTTGAATATCATCTAATACCTAGTTAGGAGATTTGAGGCTAGAGGCCAGATCTTCTGCCTCTTAATAAGTGTTCTTTTCACTGTTTGATTGCGTAAAGAATTAGTGTTCAGTTTTCCTGATTGTCTCAATTATGCCTTTTGTGGTAAAAATGCATAACATTAAATTTACTATCTTTTTAAGCGTGCAGTTCAATAGTGTTAAATGTATTCTCATTGTTGTGGGGTAGATCTCCAGAACTTTTCCTTCTTGCAAATCTGAAACTCTACCCATTAAACAACTCCCCTTTTCCCACTTTCCCCAGCCCCTGATTACCACCATTCTACTTTCTGTTTCTATGAATTTGGCTACTTTAGATACGTCATGTAAGTAGAATCATACAGTATTTGGTTTTTTGTGACTGGATTATTTCACTTAGCTTAGTGTCCTTTGGGTTGATTGATGTCGTAGCACATGACTGGATTTCCCTTCTTTTTAAGGCTGAAATAGGATATTCCATTGTATATATACACCACATGTTGTTTATCCGTTCATCCATTGATGGACATTTGGGTTGCTTCCACCTCTTGACTATTGTGAATAGTACTGTTGTGAACGTGGGTGTGTGAATTATCTCTTCCAGATCCTGCTTTCAATTTTTTTGGTTATATACCCCAAAGTGGAATTGCTGGATCATATGGTAGTTCTATTTTTAATTTTTTGCAGATCCCTCATACAGTTTTCCATAGCAGTTGCGTCATTTTATGATCTCATCCAACAGTGCACAAGGGTTCCAATTTCTCTACATCTTTGCCAACACTTATATTCCGTTCTTTTCTTTTCTTTTTAAATAATGCCTTTGTCAAAAATCACTTGACAGAGGGTTTATTTCTGGGCTTTCAGTTCTCTTCTATTGATATATTTGTCCTTGTGCCATTACCATGTTGTTTTGATTACTGTAGCTTTGCTATGTTTTGAAATCAGGAAGCATGTCTTCCAAGTTTGTTCTTTAAGATTGTTTTGGCTACTCAGGGTCCTTTGAAATTTCATATGAATTTTAGGATGAATTTGCTATTTCTGAAAAAAATACTGTTGGAATTTTGATAGGGATTGTGTTGAATCTGTAGATCACTTCGGATAGTATGCACATCTTAAAAACACTAAGTCTTCTACTCCATGAACACAGGATGTCTTTCCATTTGTTTATGTCTTTAATTTCTCTTAGCAGTGTTTTGTAGTTTCCAGTGTATAAGTCTTTCACCTC